ATTTAAATGGAAAGAGAGAATTCCTTATATCATGGATACTTAGCTGACTTTAGAGTGTATTATAAACCATAAATGCTTGAAGAGCATATTTTTGGGGGAATTTATAAGCTAGTCATTAAAATAAATTCGAAATTTTCTATGAACTAGTTTATTACTGCTCAGATAAGTCCATATTAACTTCGAGATTCAGTTATCAGGGTTTTGAAGAAATTAATAGCAAAAGAATGAAAAAGAGTTGTGGAACTTTCAGTCTTGATTAAAATCTATGTGCTCCTATTTTGTATTCTGTTTCTGCAGTACATAAAAATTACATCATTTCCCTGTTGATTGGATTGATCAAATTTGAGTATCAAGAGACCTCGAATCTCTATTGAGTTTCTCTAAGATGCTCTGTTTCTGTGAACCTTTTTTTTTAAACCATTATGAAACTCATACACCCACCTTATAGATTCTTTTTTATTTTTGTTTATTTATTTTTTATTATTATTTATATATTCAATCATTATATATCATTTAGCTTGTACAGAAAATTTACCTAACATGAAATACACCTCAGATCAGTCCAGTTGAGAATACTATACACATCATCATCCACAGGTAATAAACCATTCTGTATCCTGCAGCTGTCTTAGAGATTCTACCAGTAAGAAACAGTTCATCAGTCACAGTAGCTAGACAACTTGTTCATCATCATATATACAAGTATTTTTAGTTAGAGTGACCCTCCTAAACCTAGATTAACTATTCCCCCACAAAATATCCCAATGATTTTGAGACCTAAATTGAAAACATTTAGAGATGTAGCTATGATTTTTGAGTTGAAAATTGTATTAAAATGTTATTTTGAATGTGAAGTTTTATAGTGGGATAACATTTTAAGTGAAAGAGATGTATATTTAGGATACTGTTTTTTTAATGAAGGAGATCTAGTCATTTTAGAAGAACTGAACAAAAATCACCTTATGATTATCTGTAGGAAAAGGTATTTGAAGGTTATTTATCTGCATAATTCTAGCTCGCTTTGGTTAATGTATTTCTATCATAAGGGTGACAATTTCAAATAATAGCTACTTCAGAAAGTTTTATATAAGAAAACAAATTAGGGCCTGCTTATAGCACGGTGATTAGGGAGCTGAATCCCACATGACCCAATGCAGTTGGAATCCTAGCCCCTATTGCTTGAAAGACAGGAGATGACAGCCCAGAATCTACACTGAATGGAGAAATGGAGTGGGGGACTGTGGTGTGATGATGCCCCACTGGGGGCTGCTTTCTCTCTCCCTCCCTCCCTCTAATGAGTGCAATGCAGCCTCTGGCAATAAACATAAAGTAAAATATAAAAAGAAAGAAAATGAATTTGAATAAGTTTGAACTCATTTAACATTTATCAGGGGAACTATTTTAGAAAAAAATTCGAAGTGAACTATTCTATAAAATGAAATAGTTCTTTTTTAATGGGTATCCCAACATATATTTGCATTTTTGGATCCTAGGCTTGCTTAAAATGAATTTTATTTCTATCTGAGTGAATGCATAAATAACTACAGGTTAACTATTTTTATTGAGATGAATATTTCTCTTAGGTCATTTTGTGACTGGGAAAATTAGGTATGTATACATCTATAAGGGTGGATCAAGATTTCTTTTTATTAATGTGATGTCTTAGAAAATTGAATCATTTTAATACTGTAATTTTGACAGTTTATTCAACATACAGGTGATTTACCTTGGGAAATGGTCAGCTTGACTTTGCAGGCATAAAATGTAGCTTTTGCCTAAAGAGAATTACTAGATCATTTTAAAAGATAGTTTGCAAGATAGTTTGGAATTCTATAAAGCCTCATTTTAAAAGATAGTTTGCAAATTTCATAACTCTCGTGTCTTTGTCTCTGATCCTGTGTTTTTGAGTTAAAAAACAAATGTTGACTGTGTTTCATTGTTTTACTTTTGATTATACACATTTGTCTAGACACTCAAATCTTTTATTAATCTTAATTATGCATATATGCATCCTGAGAATGTTCTCCTGCTGGTCTTAATTAAACTCGAAGTTCCTTACTTGATTAATCTATTAACTTTAATTTTGAGGCTACCAAAGAAAAGCATGTAGCCAAAGATCAGTATTACAACATTTGTGGCAAACCCACTCTGTTTCAGCAGTGCTTACAAAATTAGAAATAAAAGATTATATCTTAAGAAATAAAAAGTCCACAAAATTGAGAACAAATTATGTTTTACAAATTCAAAGTAATTTTTAATAACCATCAATAATATGTGTATTTGTTCCTGATGTCATAATACCTTCTACATCCCCCCAGAAAAATCAACTGTGATTATGGTAGAATCATAGTGTACCAAAAAAGGGCAATAACCCAGTACTTATTATTTAGTAGCAGATTTAAAACGTAGATAGTGACATATTTTAAAATCTGGGTTTTTTTCCTGGAAATTAAGCAGGTTTGTCAAATGAAACAAATCCACTTCACAAAACAATTCCCTGGAGGAAATACACTAAGCTCTAATTGATTTTTCCCACTTAAAAGTTTAGATATTTTCGCTCATGACTGTTTTATGTTCTTTTTAATAAATTTTTACATCAAAGTTTTTCAGTGCTTTTGAAATACTGATCTCTATTTTACTTTAGGTCTTCACTGGGATTTTCACAGCAGAGATGATTCTTAAGATCATTGCTATGGACCCCTATTACTATTTCCAAGAGGGCTGGAATATCTTTGATGGAATTATTGTCAGCCTCAGTTTAATGGAGCTTGGTCTGTCAAACGTGGACGGATTATCTGTACTGCGGTCATTCAGATTGGTATCTGCATAGACTATGTTTATTTCCTGCCTCTCACTGACCTGACAGTTATTTTGAAATTGAACAATTACATAATATAGGTCACATTATATAATATGTATTCTATAATTATAATTAATGCATATATATATATACTTAAAACAATATTTTAAATTTACATACATATGTGATAGTGTAAGGAAATATATAAGCATTCTGTATAAAACAAAGTATAAACTAATTTCGAAGACTGATAAAAATGGTTAAAAGGCTTCATAATGATGTGTGGAATATATTTAAAAACATACACATATAGGCCAGCAGGTGACATGAAGGTTAAGGTACTGGATCCCATATAGCTGACTCTGCAATTCAAGTTCCAGACGCAACAGCTTGAGAATCATGCTGAGCACGTGTGTATGTGTGTCCAAAATCTTGACAAGAGAATGGAAGAGAAGTGATTGTGGCGTGGTCATTCCACCAAGGGATGATTTCTCACTTTTCCTCTCTTGGTCTCTGTCTCTCCCCAGCGAGTGCACAGGACTTATAGCAAAAATAAAAACACATGCTTCTAAATCACGTTTTAAATTTATTATTTTTTCCCATACAATCTATAAAGAAATACAAATCAATCATTAGGCTCGAGTTATCTTAACTTTTCTTATATTAGTGAGGACTATTTTAAAATAACATAAGGGGGGGGGAATGATGCTATTAACATCTTAAACAATAGTATAACAAAATTATTTAAATTATAACCAAAAATTCACTGAAACACATGTTTGGACCAGCCTGATGGAACAATCTGTAGAGTGCTGCACTACAGTGCTGGAAGCCACATAGCCAATCAGAGGTCTGGATCCCTGGGTCAACCTGAAAACACACTGGGTGTACACATGAGGATATCCAAGAGACTGAGGACCTGGAGGGCTGCAGAAAGGAAAGAGAGTGACATGATGAAGGCCTATCAGGGGGGCCCTCATTCTCTTTTGCATACACACATGTAAGAGTGCACATATGCACACATGCTTTCTCTATCATAAAACAGAAAATGAAAAATATTTGGGACCAGCAGTTAGGGTAATCGCTATGTCACTGGACTCCCACGTAGTCAACCACAGTTCAAGTCCCGGTGGCTTAAACTCACGCCGGGCGCGTGTGCGTGCGTGCCCAAGATCCTGAGAGGAGAATGGAGGAGAAGGGATTGCGGCGTGACCATCCCCTCTGGGGGGTGATTTCTCGTTTTCTGTCTCTCTGTCTCTCTCTCTTGTCTGTCTGGCGAGCGCACGTGCCCTATAGCAAAAACCTCTCCAAAAAAAGAAAAGAAAATGAAAAATATGTTAAATTTGTATTAGAAATTAAGTAAAATGTGTATGTTTTGAAATTGAAGGAAAGCCTTTCTACAATGTGTTTCCTAAATTAGTTGTTTCACTTTCATTTTATAATGACCCATTAAAATATATATCTTGGGAGCAGCAGATGGTGTAATGGCCACATCATTTGCTGGACTCCCATGTAGCTTACTGCAGTTCGAGTCCCACACCCAGTGGCTTAAACCCACACCGGGCGTGTGTGCGTGTGTGCCCAAGATCCAGAGAGGAGAATGGAGGAGTAGGGATTATGGTGTGGCCATTCCCCCTGGGGGTGATTTCTTACTTTCTGTCTCTCTGTCTTTCTCTGTCTTTCTGGAAAGCACACCCCTATAGGGGAAAAAAAAAAAAAAAACCTTTCCAAAATAATAATAATAATAAACTCATACTTTTAGTATTTCTTTTTTTCTCCAAAATAGAGACTAATGGTTAGATAAGTTTACTACATTTACAAAATGTCTTTAATCCAAATATTAATTTGTTTTATACACATATCTCTTATTACTCAGAAATGTCTATTAATTCTCAAATGCACTATCTTTTGTATTTTCGCATTTAAATGATGTTATGATCTGAATTACCATTTCAAGATTATTGACACTATCTTTACTGGATTTGAAATTTAATTAGTCTAGTATGTTTTAAGTTTTTACATCCCTCAAATGTGGGCCTACAAAATGGTTTACTAGTAAAATGATATCTAACTTCAAAAATAATATTGCGAGTACCACTAACAGTAATCTTTTCACTTGATTACAGCTTCGAGTGTTCAAGTTGGCAAAATCCTGGCCCACACTAAATATGCTAATTAAGATCATTGGCAATTCTGTGGGGGCTCTAGGGAACCTCACCTTGGTGTTGGCCATCATCGTCTTCATTTTTGCCGTGGTCGGCATGCAGCTCTTCGGTAAGAGCTACAAAGAATGTGTCTGCAAGATCAATGATGACTGTAAGCTCCCACGCTGGCACATGAATGACTTCTTCCACTCCTTCCTGATTGTGTTCCGCGTGCTGTGTGGAGAGTGGATAGAGACCATGTGGGACTGTATGGAGGTCGCCGGCCAAACCATGTGCCTTATTGTTTTCATGTTGGTCATGGTCATTGGAAATCTTGTGGTACGTATTACAAATGTTTATAAATAAGAATGAGCTTAGACAAGCCCTCAGAAGGCAGTCTGAAGCAATAGATATATCTCTGGTTTTTTAGTAAATGGCCTAGACTCAAAACCCCTCATAAGCACTCTGAGCGTGGTCCCAATATTTATCATCTCGGAAGCTTAGGCTTCCCAGTTATGACAATGATACAGCAAAACTGTAATCATATGATTAACACGAGGACTAAAGGAAGTAGATCTGTGCAAGTTCAGTGGGGAGTAAAAATTCGTTTTTCCTTTTTTCTTCAAAACATTTTGGTTTTTGTCATCAAGATTAATTTTGTCATAATATCATTTTGATAAGACAGTGGTATAAATTAAGTTTTTAAATACAACTATATATTTTACATTGGAATTGTCTTTTATACATTCATAATTCATATTATTTGCTTACTCGGAGGCATAGATGCATACTACCAATTTTTGAAGACAAATTCAATAATATCGAGAATTCTGTTTTAACTCTGTTTTGCAGTTATCTAAATAACTTGGAAGAGGACTATATATCTCTCTGAATTTGCTGTATTAAAGGAAAATAAGTTATTTCAGTTTAAATTATTCTTATGTATAGACAGTGATTAGATTTAAGAGACTTACTTTTAGCCGTGATTTAAATGCACTAATAAAAATCCGATTTATGTATTTATGTGTTTTGATGCTTAAATTTCAATCCTGCATGGACAACGCATTTCTTGGTGGAATCCTACTGGGCCCTTCACTTTGAAGGGTACATTCTAAATGAGATTACCCAAGAAATTGCTAGCAGGATTTCTGTGAACATGTAATTTTGTTTTTTTTTGCAATAGTAAATTAAGAAGCTCTAGAGTCTGGACAAAGCTGATACAGAAATAAGAAAACAGGGACCAGATGGTGGTACAGTGTTAATGCAGATGGATCCACATGGGTTCGCATCCCAAGGCTTCTCTGCACATGTTGAGCACACAAGTACATTTACATTATCTGTGCTGACTGAGGCTGGAGAGAGGTCATGCTGTAAAGACCTTGCTGGAATTTCTCTATCCTCTCTCTCTCTCTCTCATGAAATAAATAAATAAACAAAAAACATTAAAAAAATATATGGTCCAGCTTTGGAGCCTAGTGGTTAAGGGAGTCAGATCCCAAACATGTACTGAGTCCCAGCCCCAGCAACTGGGAAAACATGGCGGGTACATGTGCATGCGTGCCCCAAATCCTCACAAGGGGAGCAGAAATGGAGGAGCAAGGACTGCAGTGGGGGGTACTTTCTCCTCTCTCTCCGGCTCTTTAGCAAACACACCAGCCTCTGGCAATTTAAAAAAAAAAAAATGAAAGAAAGAAAAAGAAAGAGAAAGGAAAAAGGAAGGAAGGAAGGAAGGAAGGAAGGAAGGAAGGAAGGAAGGAAGAAAGAAAGAAAGAAAGAAAGAAAGAAAGAAAGAAAGAAAGAAAGAAAGAAAGAGAAGGAAACAAAATGGTGTTCTTGCTTTGTATGTGTTTCCCTATCATGTGACATACATAAACTCAATAACCGCATTTCAAGCTGAAAATATTCCTATTAATAAATTTCTTTGCACACTATAGAATGAATTATTCCTCCCTTAACCATAATATCGTTGGTTGGGTAAAATTTTTAATGTATCCCAATGTTTCTCTAAGATTTCAGATATCGCCATATTTTCTCTACCAAAAAAAAAAAAAAAAAAAGATAAAGTAATTTACATTATATGGGTCTAGTCTAATCCTCGGAGTAATTTTAGATTTTCCTCCATCTGTCTAGCTATTTGAACACATAAATTTCAAAGTGTATTTGAAGAAAAATGTGTTAAACCTTATATAATTTGCATTTAGAAATTTCTGTTGTTATAAAAGTTTGCGTCCATCAGACTAGAAGGAATTTCAAATACGTTGTTTTTACACATATGAGCAGGCTAATAAATAAACAAGTTTAGGGCTGGCCTCATGGCCTGGTGCCTAAGGGAGCTAGATCCCACATAGCCAATGACACAGTTTGAATTCCAGCCCCAGGTAAAAGAAAATAAGGCCTGGCCTATGTGCATGTGTGCCCCAAATCCCAAAATACAGAAAAAAATGGAAGAAAAAGGATTGTGGCAGGGCTTTGTCCCACTGATAGGTACTTTTTTCCTCACCTATTCTGTCTCTCTCTGGCAAATAAAAATAAATAAATAAATAAATTTATTATTTACATATCTGAAGTTAGACATTTCCTCAACAAGCTTCTAAGATAAAGTAAAATAATTAAGGTACAAACATCTTCCTGTGTGCCGCAATCCCTTCTCCTCCATTCTCCTCTCGGGATCCTGGGCACACACACACGCTCCCGGCATGAATTTAAGCCCCCGGGTCTGAGACTCTAACCATGGTCAGCTACATGGGAGTCCAGGGACATAGCCATTATGCTAACTGCTGGTACCTCTTTTTCTCATTGATAAAAGTCCATATAGTTTGAGAATTATCTTTTCACTGATAAGCCTGAGTAAATCAATTTAAATTTCAAAAGCTCTACTTTCTGCTGTTCTTCTCAATATAAAAGAAGAGGTATTTGTTTTACCATTTTACTCTTACAGCAGATAAAAGATATCAGATACTTGGGAACCAGCAGTTAGCGTAATGGCTATATCGCTGGACTCCCACATAGTCGACCATGGTTCGTGTCCCGGACCCGGTGGCTCAAAACTCACGCTGGGCACGTGTGCGTGCGTGCCCAAGATCCCGAGAGGAGAATGGAGGAGAAGGGATTGCGGTGTGACCATCCCCCCTGGGGGGTGATTTCTCGCTTTCTGTCTCTATGTCTCTCTCTGTCTGGCGAGCGCACGCGCCCTACAGTGAAAATCTCTCTCAAAAAAAAAAAAAAAAAAGATATCAGATACTTTAAATAGTGTGTGATTTAGACACAATGCCTGAAATACAGCAAACACTCCAGAAGCTTTATGAAATAATTTTAGCAAGAGTATAGGAGTTCCCTGTTTAGATTGTTATTTTTATGCATACTTCACTGATAATTTGACTTTTTTTTCCTTTTAGGTCCTGAACCTCTTTCTGGCCTTACTGTTGAGCTCATTTAGCTCAGATAACCTTGCTGCTACTGATGATGATAATGAAATGAACAACCTTCAGATTGCTGTAGGAAGGATGCAAAAGGGAATCGATTATGTGAAAAATAAGATACGGGAGTGTTTCCAGAAAACATTTTTAAGAAAGCCAAAAGTAATAGAAATCCACGAAAGCAACAAAATAGACAGCTGCATGTCCAATAACACTGGAATTGAAATAAGCAAAGAACTTAATTACCTTAAAGATGGGAATGGAACCACCAGTGGTGTAGGTACTGGAAGCAGTGTTGAAAAATATGTGATTGATGAAAATGATTATATGTCATTCATAAACAACCCCAGCCTCACCGTAACAGTGCCGATTGCTGTTGGGGAGTCTGATTTTGAAAATTTAAATACTGAAGAGTTCAGCAGTGAGTCAGAACTAGAAGAAAGCAAAGAGGTAAGAATACTTTGAAGTTTCTGTTGTATTTCTTGTAAAAACTATGTTCAGTATTCTTTACTGTGCTTATATATATTATTGAAAAGTAATGTTGAAAGCACTTGATAATGTTGGAAAATCATGAGATACTCTACATTGGCAAATTTATAAAAATTCTGACTTTCCACCAGAAATCATCATTCTAAATAATTAGTACATTTATTTTTTGATCGTTTAAAAATGTAGCCCCACAAAAAAAGAGATGCTATTTAATACATTCTACTCTATACAACTTTACGCTCTTCAGGAAAATCGGTGAATTATATTTTTCTTGATCATTGTGAAAGTGTTATCTCCTCAATCCCTAGAATAGGTTTTGCTATATTTTCAATGTGAAACTTTCATGAAGCTTTTGTTTACCTCTGAAGTTTTATTCACTATGATAGAGTGTTTTATTTGTGCAAGTGTTATACTTGCGAGAAAAGCACAAGTAGGACTGATTATATTTGGCCCAGTCAAGGACAATTAAGTCTATAAAGTCTTCCAGAATAACTTAAAGATACTAAGAACTACTTAGAAAAGATCTCCTTGAGGGAACCAGCAGTTGGTGTAATGGCTATATCATTGGACTCCCATGCAGTTGATTGCAGTTCGAGCCCCACACTTGGTGGCTTAAACTCACGCCAGGCACGTGTGCATGCGTGCCCAAGATCCCAAGAGGAGAAAGGAGGAGAAGAGATTGTGGAATAATGTCTTGCTTGCTTTCTGTTTCTCTCTGTTTTTCTAGCAAGCACATGCGCTCTATAGCAAAACCTCTCAAGAAAAGGAAAAGAAAAGAAACGGAACAAAAAGCTCCCCTAGAGGATTATAGTTAACCTGTAGATAAAAAACCTACTTATACCGTAATATTACAAGTTGTTAAAATAACAGAAAGCAAGAGGAAGAGAAATACAGAAAGCGAGAAGAGAAGAATAAAGGAAATTATTCTTACTCTCATTCAAATTTATAGGGCCCTACAATAGTAGCTTAAGAGTAGCAATTCTTCGATTCTGTGCTGTGGAGCATAGTGTTAAATATTTTTTATTAATATTCACTTATGGGGTATGAATATACCAGTAGGAAATATGTCTAGTACAGATGGAGTTATAAAAGATATGTTTTATCTTGAGAGTACAATGTTGACACCATGAGAATCAGACCAATGATGTCCGATTTTGTGATAAGATTTTAGAATATTTTTCATCAATGTATGAATCTGATTTGAAAACCTTATAATAAGTAATTGACAGTATTATAACTAACAACTTTCTGACATTTTCCCCAGGCATTTCAGAACTGTTGAAATATATTATAAAAGTAAATTTGAAAATATGCTGAAAAAGGTAAAAATACACACAAAATGAGATAGTAATAGTCATTCTGTAAATTCCACTCAAAGTCTCCTTAGTGAGTTTAATTCTAATTTATGTTGCCCATTCTGGTAAAATAAGAATTCAATTCTAACTTTATTTTCTATCACACAGCATAGATTTATTCAATAAAGAACTCTGGCAAGTTAACAAGCATTTATTGAGCACTTTTTGTAAAATTAGAACTCCGCTTGATACTGAGTAACCGTGAAGTGGTTTTAAAAAAAATTACCGTGTTTGTGTGGGAAAAGGTATTCAATTGGGATATACTGAGTTAGAAGGTGAGAGGCAGAGATCAGGGATTAAAATTAGACTTCATAATGCATGTTATAATTATGCAACTCCCTAAAAATAGAGGAGCTCATCCAAGAAGTAATTATAAAGTCCAAATAAAAGGAGACAAGAAGCAAATAGCTTGATTAACTTCAGGTCAAGAAGAGGTAGAAAAGACACAGATTAATACTGCAGATTTTATCAAATCAAATCTATGATAAGTAAATATCTTAATTTCTTCTACCAGATAGCTGATTTCCAAAATATTTCAAAAACTTCATAATATCCAAAGATACTTCAAATGACTACTTGGAGAAATACTATCTCATTGTCATGTCTTCTTTATTTCAGAATTACTTTATTTAATTTTATTTATTTACATTTAATTTGACCAGGGAGGGACGGAGTGAGAGAGTGAGAGAGAGAGCTAGACAAAGTGAGAAAGCAAGTCACCAGATCCAGGACTTGAACCACAATTAGCCATATAGGAATCCAGAACCCTTAACACCACACCACCTGCCGACCCCTGTCATGTCTTTTTAGTGACTTACATATCAAGTCCTGGTAAACATTTTATTACCTGAATAAAGATCTCTCAGTGATTTTTTTTTTCATTATAGAGAGCTTGTGTGTGCACACTTAAGACCATGGTAGGGGGCATCTTTGAAGACAAGGTCCCACCACATCACAGTCCACTCACAGCCCTCCAACTCCCAGAACCCTGGAAGCTAGTGCATGTGGGCCCTGCTTATTTTCAGTCTGACCCAGGGAGCCAGAACTGCTGTTGGCCATATGGTCTCCAGCAGTGCAGGGCACTTGCAGTACCACTCCACCACAGTGGTTGGGTAGATTGAGTGATTTTAAAATAATCACTTCATTCTCTTTCCAGCTTATTCTGAACAGATAGAATTCAATTACAGAATGTAATAAAATTGTTTAAAATGTACGGATATATTAGTTGGAAAATCATCAAAGTAAATATAAAATTACATATTTTATAAGACTGGGATAAAATTTCAGATTATCTTGCAAAGTAATATTAAATTCAACAATAAATTTTGTCTAGATGACTTTATACTAAAATTAGTACCCCCCCAAAAAAAACCTTGAAAAGTAATAGGAGTATTCTCACATATGCTCACACACAAGATAGAAAGTAGACAGTTTAAAAAGTAAAAATTAGCATATTCTGACCTTATGTATCAGATTTAGATAAATTTCAGTAAAATGCAGCTTTAATCTGAAATTTCTAAAACTGCTGACACTAAAAACTGGTCACATTTCAGGTACACACAGATTGGCTATGTTCTTTCTTAACAGCTATTCTACATGCACACATGTTAAAAATAGCATATCCAAAAAGTTACATTTTTATTCATACTTCTTAGTTCTGGTGAGGTTTTTTTTTCTTGTTGTTTTTGCTTTTGTTTTTTCCCTCTCCCCTCCCCCCACAGGTAGCAAAAAACATTGAGCTCTTCTTTGGAGAGCACAGAAGAGTCTTTCTCTTTGCTGAAAAACTGAGCAATCATGTAAGCTAAATCTACCAGTTATATATTTCTCACTAAAGAAAATAAAATTTACATGAGATTTCTGCTTTAAAACAAGGCAGTAAATTAGTCACTAACTTAGATGGTATTTGAAAGCACTTGGTACTCTGTTCCTTCCATTTGTTTTCATAATAAAGAAAGTCTGGTTAAAGCAACTGGGAAGACATGATCCTTAGAAGTTTGTATAAATAAAAGTATGTATTGCTATTATATGATATATATTATATGTGTGTGTATATATTATATCTGTATACTGTGAATACCACTAACATAAACAGGCTGGTACAGAAACAAATATAAATCTTTACATTAAAAAAAATGTAAAAAGAATTTACGACATGGATTTTAAAATAGTGATTTTTTTTTTTATATCTTGGGAAAACTTGGAAGCATACAAATCTTGTGAGAAGTTCTATGTAGAATTTCGTTTGTTTTTATATATTTCTTAATGTTCACATAATTATGATTTCTTGACATTTTATAGAGCTATGGATCTTTATCATTTACTTCTTAAAAGATTATCGGTTTGCCTTCCTAAATGATGGAGCTAGAATATATGTGCTTAACAATCATGTGAAGTTAAATTCCAAACACAAGCCAACAATATCATACTGTGACCTTCACTGCTTACCATTCTTACTTCTCACAGGGGTAAAATCAAGCTGGACCCATCGAGAATGCGGCTCTGGTGTTTTTTAACCAGCCAGAGGCTCGTGCCACCACTTTTACCCAGGTTACCCAAGCAAGTTGTACATGCACAATCACTTTCTAAATGAATTGTGACTGGCCTGCATGCTACTCAGCTACGTTCCTTCCCCTGCCATGGCAAGGAAGTGCTAGACTTTCCCAGCTGCTCTGCTGAATCGTGTGGCACATCACAGCATGGTCAGGCGAGATGGGCAGTCCCCACATCATACCTAATTCTGCTGATGAGATTTCTAGTTTAGTCTCAAAAGCAATAATTGCATGCTCTATAAGATTTATAATACCTATGTTAAAACATGATAGGAATGTTTATGATTCAATATTGTCAAAGACTTAAGAGAGCATGCGTTTTTATTTCTCTGCTTTTGTTTCATCAAAATAAGACCACGACTTTTTGTTCTTGATGATTCAGCCCTTATAAGTAAATTACATTACCAAAATGAGCCTCACAGGGTTTTTTTCCATAACAGTACTGCCATTTTCAGATAATTTGGATCCATGAATATAATTCTGAACTTATTCAATTTATGTGCTCCAGATGGAAATGTTTGCTTTTACGTTTTTTGGGGGAAAGGGTCTGTAAAAAAAAACAAAACAAAACAAAAGAGTAGGGTGATCTGATCATGAGTTTTTGATATGAAGGGCCATAGTCTGTATGCATTTGGGCACCACATATCTTGGATTTTCATGTAGTTGAGGAAAGTTGTAAGTCATACATCTGCCAAACTGTAAGTGATCAGAGTAAAGTAATTTTTTAAAAAGGAAATCATTGTGATCTGGAGGAAAAATGCATTGCCTCTTGATCATTAAGTAATTCTTCAGTGTACCCACATTGCATGTGGGATTTCATTGATTGACACTCATTTCTTTCTAAATGTTCTGTCCAAAACTGAGCAGACAAAAAAAAAAAAAAAAGATTTGAAAACTGCAGTGGTTTGGGTTAATAATTACTGTTTTAGGAGGAATAAAAGGCATCTTCCAAGATTATTGTAGGCAGATGGAAAAAACTAAACTTTGGTTTATTCTTGGGACCTAATTTTCTCCTGTTGGTATCACTGTTGACCAGAATCCCAGCCAGACTACAAGT